GGAGGGGTGGGCGGAGCTATGGTGCGTTAGGAAGGGAGTGATAGGGGGGTGGGAGTCGGGGTGGGGGTGGGGAGGGGTTCGAGCGGATGGAGCCATGGACGGGGTGGGCGGGCAGCAAGGGCAGACCATGCAGCCATGGGGCCATGAGCCCCTGAGGCCATGAGAAGCAGTGCGGGCGGGAAGGGCGGGAAGGGCAGAGCCAGCGGAGGGGGCGGGCATGCACTGAAACCCTTTAAATTCAGCTGATAGGGTGGGGCCATGGGACCATGGAGCATCATGGAGCCATGGCCACGAGGATTTGGAGACCACGGGGCCATGAGAAGGGCAGTGCGGGCGGGAAGGGCGGAGCAAGCGGAGGGGGCGGGCATGCACTCGGGCCCTTTAAATTCAGCTGATAGGGTCCAAGGGCCTGGGGCCATGGGACCAGCAGCCATGGGGCCATGAGCCCTTGAGGCCATGAGAAGCAGTGCGGGCGGGAAGGGCGGAGCCATGGAGCCATGGAGCCGTACGCCCTTCAGGACCATGGGGCCATGAGAAGAGCCGTACGGGCGGGAAGAGCGGAGCAAGCGGAGCAAGCGGAGGGGGCGGCAGCCCATGGGGCCATAGGAAGGGACCCATAGGCAGGGTGTATGTGGGGGTGGGAGTCGGGGTGGGGGTGAGGAGGGTACGCCCTTGGGGACCATGCGGCCATGAGAAGGGCAGTACGGGCGGGAAGAGCGGAGCAAGCGGAGGAGCCATGAGCGGGGTGGGCGGGCAGCAAGGGCAGTGCGGGCCATAGGCGAGGTGGGCGGAGCGGGCGCGAAGAGCGTAGCATGGGATGGGCAGGGTGTGTGTGGGGGTGGAGGGGGGGAAGGGAAGGGGCCATGCACTAAAGCCCCTAGAGCGGACAAAAATGGGTCTTCACTGACGCCGCCCCGCTGCTGCTGGGGTCGGCGGATAACACAATAAACATGTATACGTATATAGTTTTTCTTGCCCCCCCCCGCCCATGACACGCACCCGCCCTTAAATCCTCGGCCTGCGCGGTAAAAATCGACTTTTGCCGATCGTCGATTGTCGATGCTTCTCCCAGGATGCAAAAAAAAGGTTTAATGTTTAGGGTTTGCTTTGGGTTTGGAGGAGCCCCCCCCCCCCCCCCCAAGCCACTTTAAAACTCACATTGTCTTTCTGCGTGTGTGTTTTCATTAGTGGTTCTGTCATATGCGCTGCAGAACTGTATGTCATGTATGTATGTATATATATACATATATATATATATATATATATTTACATATATGTTTATCAGTTTGAACAATATTCGACCATTCTTCTTGTCTGGCTCAAGGAGACCTGTTTGATGAACACTTTAGGTCCAAAATCTTATGGTTAAAGTATCGTGAGGCATTCTTCACATAATAAATGCATCTACAAGCACGAGTATAAATAATCTCGTTGTTGAAGCTTTTCTTCATAATAGACAGAACCAACCACAGAACTAACCAAATTATAATATTTAAACAAATTTATAGGCAGTTGAGTTCGCATAACTGCATGACGAATACAACTATTAGAATTTAGATCGATTACCATTTGTATTCTTCATGTAACTACTATGCTAGCGACTGCAATTATAATGAGTGTAACGATATAGAAGATACAACCACAACTGATACAACTGATATACTAAATATATCTAAGATAAACCATCTAATTGATGATGACATGTGATAGCCTAGCTAACGCAACATTGGCATGTGCACAAGGCTATGTATTATATTCATTCTTTTCCATATAGGCACTATAATCAGTATTCACGTTTCCTTATGGCCGTAGTTTACCCAATCTGTTCCTTAGATTCATTAGAAGATCTCATGCGTTAAGTTTTGCTCAACATAGGCAAAACATTTGACATGCCATGTTTGGCTTGGCGGGAAGCATAGCTTGAGATAAGATGCTGTAGATTCAGCATAACAAACCACAAGCCTAAAGTCCTAAAGTCCAGAGTGTCCGAGGAATATCCAGGGATGTGTCTCAAGTCATGAACCAGCGAGCCCAGCACTGCAGGCTGGGGGATATTCGCTGCCTCGATGCTCTTCGGCTTGGGAAATGGCCTGACCCTGGGCTTCAGCTGATAAGAGAGATCATCATTTCACAGCCGCATTCGTTTCATTCATCACTAACTTATCTTTGTTATTGTCTACTTCATTTGTTTTTGTGCCGGGGGGGGTGGTTGGGTGAAAGCACTACTCTTGCGTGATTTTGTTTTTCCTTCCGTTTTTGTCGACGTCACGTGATGTAGAGGCAGGCGCGAGAGAACTTGCTGGAACTGCTTGATAGTTAACTTCTCGCGTGTCCGGCAGGATGTTTGAGACGCATGTTCGCAAATTTATTCATGTACAGAACGGTAGTAGTAACTTGGTAGTAGTGACCCAGTAGTAACTTAGTAGTAGAAACACTCGAAGCTCGTGGCTAGGACCGGCGGCATTGCCAGCACGCTGTCGGCGGACTTGGCACCCACGTGGGCGCGTGCACAGCGTGCTCCTCAAGTTTGGGCAGTTTGGGCGGTAGTTTGCGCGGTAGTTAACAGCACTTAAAGGCAGAACGACCATGTTGCGTGCCACAGACAAGAGTTTGCCCGCAGCCATGGCTGCAAGCAGGTGGGAGCATGGATTGAGCTGTCCTGAAGCTTCAGAATGCTTGCAAGTGTCGGGGGCACTTTGTCTGTGAGGTTTATGGGTCTCTGGAAAATGGTGACATCCAACGGAAGCCGCGTGATTGAATTGAGATTGATTGCTGAGTTTGCGGAAGGCCTACTTTTGATAGTTTTTTTTTTTTTTTTGGGGGGGGGGGGGGGGGGGGGGGCGCGGGTGGGGAGGGGGGGGGTGGGGGTCTGCTTGTCCTCTGGTGTTGCGGTCTTTGTACGCCTGTCTGCCGGTCCTTTGGGCTCCCATTATTCTGCTTGTAAATGGCTGGGGCTCCGACTCAGAATGCAATATGGCAAGCTCATTATGTTTGCCCCCCCCCCCCCCCCGCCTTCCCCTACCTCAGCCTTTTGTTTGACAGAAACCTGGATTCTCGTGGTTGGGTTGTATATGGATATGTGGATTGATTTTGCAAACTTGGGGGCAAACGGCGTAAGACCACGAACACGCGGTTGTCCTTTCAAGCCCGGAGACAGGCTGTAAACGAAATGTGTTTTTTCAGGTCAAGTCGAAAATAAGGGACCCCCCGATATAGATCCCCAAATCGTAGGATCCCCTTAAAATAAGGACCCCGATAAGGTACCCCTAATTTCGGAAACCCCCATATAGAGCACATAGCACCAGTTTCCAGTCAACACGAAGAGGAAACCCGGCATTTTTTAGAGATTTCTTCGTTTGACATCGAAAGGAACCGGCAGCTTTTTCCATTAAATTTAGAGGAGTTACAGTTTTCTATGAGCATGTAGTTTCCCTTTACCTCGAAGGCAAGCGACAAGTTTTCCTGTCAAAATATCGCGAAATATTGAAAGTTTCCCAATTTTGAATACAGAAATTCGGCAGGTTTCCTTATCGAAGACAACCCACACGTCTTCCTATCAAAGTGTGAGATTTCCTTCCAAAACGGAATATGCCGCCCAAATCCAAGGCAATAGCGACCCTCTTCTTCCCCAAATAAACAATGTCCAAAAAACGATAAAGAGCCTCCACCCGGAGTTTAAAGTTAGGGATCCCTTCTCTTTGTGCTGTTTTTGGACTGTCATCTGAGGCCTTCTTTTTCCAATGCTTTTTGGGTTGCTGGCGAGCGCACTGCAATCCCTGGATAAAGCCACATATCTGCTTCAGCTGCCTCGTGGCCGGACAGAGCACGAGGGGGGCAGGGGCAGAGGGATGTGGGGGGGCGGACTGTAGACTTCCTGCACAGCAATTGAGGTTGGGCATCGTAGCCGCCTTGTGGTTGTGGTTCCTGGTTCCAGAGACGTGCAGCGTTGGTGATGCTACGGAGGGTGCCAAGGACCAGGGCTAACTGCGCCAGCTGTCAAGGCTACCACGTTGCCTGTAACCCGAGTTGGCCTGCCTTGGTGCGTAAATGGCTGCTTTATGTGGCTTTTGTCAGCTGGGTGCTGAATCGGAGCAGGAAAACCTCATCAGCGACCTGGACCGCGAAAAAGCAAACGCACGTGCTTGAGCTGAAGTTTTGGCTTGTGATGTCTCACCAACTGTCACTGAAGACAGTGTCAGTCTGGAAGGATCGCTTTTAATTTTAATGAACCTGCGTGTCAGGGGACAGCAGTGGGCAAAACGCGCGTCCGTGAGCGGAAATTCGGCAGGCTAAACAGCGAAGCAGCTGTCCCCAAGTTGGTCGGCCAGGAACTTTGTGCAAGGCAAGCAGCTGCGAGAGAAGAGGTGCATCGTGCCGTGTCAAGCCACCGTCTCAGCGGGGTACGTTGAGATGCGCCTGAGGGCCCATCAACCTGTGTGCCTGCTAGGCCAGGACCTGACAAGACTGCAGGGGGCTCTGCAGGAAGCACAAGGTTTGCTGCTGGCAGTGGAGGCCGGGTTTTGACAAACTGTGCCTCCATTCGTTTACAAATGTTTACAACCTCCCAGTATCAGGAGGAGTGGGGCCAGCGAGAGCTCGCCAAGCTCGCCCGTGGGCAGGCTAAGCAGGCGGGCCCACCGGAGCAACCATGAACGACGTCCGAGTCCATGCACTTTCAAGATGCCGGCACAGACAGCACAGGACCTCACAGCAGCAGCAGCAGCAGTAGCAGAGCTGCGGCAGCAGCAGTGGCAGCAGCAAGCAACAGTAGAGTGCCAGAGCTGAGGCACGTACTCATCAGATCTAGGCAGTATTCTGTGTATTTGTGAGGATGAGGAGGACGCTTTGGTGATCCCTTCCGCTGAGCAGCTGCTAGCCGAGGCTATTTGGGGCATCAGTTCTTTCAGGAACTTGAAGCGATTGCGCGGTCATCGTTGATTTTCAATCCTATCCTGAGAATCACCCCACATGTGCATATATGGCTCTTCACATATCCATCAATGCAACCGTCTGGAGTAAACGTCCAAAGCAGCCGATGCAGAGAGGACGAGGAGCGTCAACGGCGGGAAGAGGCCGAGGCGGTGGCTGAGGAACAGCGGAGAGCCTCTGAAGCTGAAGCTGCTTGGAAGAAGGCCCCGCTGCGTTGAGCATCGATATGAGCTTGTGCTTACTGCGGAGTTCCGAAGCGAGAACATCAGCCCATGAGGACTCGCATTTAAAACACATTGTGGGGGGTGGGGCTTCACATTCCCCCTCCCCCAACCCTTCCGCTTTTGTATTCAGTTTTTGCCTTCGTGCAAACTTGCTGCAAAGTATCCCTACATTTGAAGAGGAAATGTGTATTTACAGGCCGCTTATGTTTAACAGGAAAATCGCTTTGTTCCCTGTATTAGGAAATTTTTTAGTCCTTACATTGTATAGACAGACAGAAGGCAAGAATGGCATCAAGAAACGCAATTTAACATGACAACTTAGGATTCGTTTGTTATTAAGCGAATGTCCTCTTCATGGCCTGACGCTGTTTAAGAAGCAAGCTTGCGCGGGTTAAAGCTCCAGAGAAAGCGGGGAGGTTCGGAGAGAAGTTTACAAAGCAAGCTTCGATTTTTCTTTTGAACAAAGAGGAGATTTGAGGTGTTCTTATTCAATTATGGAGAATATTGAGGCTTTCCTGCTAAATTGTAGGAACATGTGGAGACAATCGAGGTTTGCCTTGCCAATTAAAACGTAGAGAAAATAGAGGTTTTCCAATTGAGATTGAGAGTAGACCAAGGTTTCCTAGCAAAGTGAGCGAACCCCTGCACCCCCCACCCCCCAAAATCTCCACCTTGGGGGAGGGTGCTCGGAAGGTACAGGAGGCGATTGATGCCGATGACGAGCGCGCATTGTTGAAAGCCTTGAACGATGTGGAGGGCATCCCGGATGCAGCGTCATCGCATGCGTAGCTTGGGTTTAGGGTTTAGGGTTTAGGCTTTATATAGGGTTTAGGGTTTAGGGTTGCTGTTCCCATGTTTAGATTTCTGCCCTCTGCGGAGTTGGCATATCTGCAGATACAGGCTCTTTGCCACCGGAGAAGGTCGCCGTGGCGAGGCGGAGGCCATTTTGCCAATGTTCTTGGGGAGTGGGGAGGAGAGAGGGTGAGGGCAGGTTGTAAGGAATCAGCCTCATCTTTGGCTTGGAGCTGTGTGCTTCAGTTCCCGCGGCTGCAGGATTCCAGCCATGCGAGCCCGGGCAGAGATGCGCAAGGAGCTGTCGATTGCCATCAAGCAACCGGAGCCCTGGCATGGGAAGTTCGATCGAGCCATGGGCTGCTCAAGGGCTCTCATCTCAATAGGGCGGATAGCAGCCGCAGTGGCAGGGGACAGTGACTTCGTGAGGCAGGGAGAGGGCAGGGGCCATGGCAAGACCTGCTGCCAAGGAGAACACGTTGAACCTCAAGTACGTCATTGCTGCCGCCAAACGGTCCTGCTTGCCACAGGTGCTCCTCAGAGCATCCCATAATTGAAAGTTGGAATGGTGGGATCCAGTCCGGACCTGTAGCTTCGCAAGAAGTGTAAAGAACGTTTAAAGAACTACCTGCAGTTCAAGCAGCTGCGAGACCTCGAGTGTTAGGATGTCGGATGACGGATGATGTTGGATTTGACAAATGTACTTGATGTGACGGGGCTGACGGTTAAGAGTGGAGAGCTCGGAGAGTTCGGACCTTCTGCTTTGCATCTGCAGTTGTCTTCATACGCATTTGCCTCAAGCGTTGCGGCTTAGTGCTCGCAGACGATACTAATAGAGGCCAGTCCACTCGGAGCCCACGGCCACACGGTGCAGCACGTGAGAAGCCAGGCGTCGGCGACGGCAGCAACGATGGTTCTTCCGACTATGAGGATTCCAGAACTACAAGAAGAAACCCCGGCCGCAGACACGCCCGATCTCTATGGAGCCGGAGTTTGACCCGGGCAATGCTGCTGATCAGGCCTTTCTGCTCGCAGGAGCTGTTCTCTCATTGGCATCCGCTTCATCGCCTGCATCGCAACGGACTGCTCCAACTAAGAAGACTTTTGCGACTTCCTTACTGGCTTCATGAACACCTGCAACTGCACTGGCATGTATTGGTTCTGCAGTTGGGTACCTCTTCACTTCGCCCATCGTCACTAATTGCGCGATTTTCAAAGGTGTTGACCGATGCCTTAGTCTGTGCAGCTGGAAGCATCGCTGCTCTGCTCAACTTGGTTGCATGCATCTTGTGGCATCCATCGTCGATCCAGAAGAGATGTGCGGTTGCTGCTGTTACGTACGTGTATAACGTGAACAATGCCGTGACTACTTGAGCTCAATTATGCGCATGCACCTGGCAGGCACCATCTGCCTCATCGCAGCAAAAGAATCCCGGTGAACTGGTGGATGGGAAACAAGCTGTTCGTACTGTTGACCGTGTTGGGCGTGGGCGAGTGTCCTTGCATGCTTTCATTTTGACGTCTGTCCTGTGCGGCAACTCTAAGACTCTGAGTGCTCTGCTCACTGTCGCTCTGATTGTCCTCATTGCTGTGGTCGTCACCGACCTGAGGATGGAGCTGAAGTCTGTGGCTCCTTTGCATCCGCCTACATTGCCTTCGTCGCACCACCAATCTGGCTTTTCCAGGTGAGGCGTCGCTTTCCGGCGGTGCAATCCTGAGACTCAGCTGCGCTTGCTGGTCTTAGTGCTTTGCACAGAGCGTCCGAGCCGCTGGACTTGCCAAAGCTCGAGCTGACTTCGGTGTTTTCGGTCGGCGTTCACCACAGGGACTGGTCGTGTCACACGTCGGCACCAAGTGGATGCTGAACCGCTGAAGCTGAGCACAGCTGAGCTCTATCGGGGGGCGGCTAGAGCCGTCTCTTCTCCACTGGCCTCTGCGGGTCATGGAGTTGCGCAACAGTGGGCCTAGAGGTGCACTGAAAGTTTAACCGGGATTTGTCAAGGCAATACATCCGCCATGCCTTTGCGAAAGGGGTCAAGCCAGGCCCGAAAAGGTACGACGGAGTTGTTGACCAACTTGTGTGCTGTAGCATCTTGTAGCTGACAGTGTAGCAACGTATTGAAGCTGCATCGTTGATGCTTTTGTCCGGCCCCTCTACCGGAATGCTTTCACATGTGGGCTGGTGGCGGGGGACATTCCAGTGAGGGGGAGCAGATTGGCCCGATTGACCCGCTCATCTTGCAGGCCGAAGTCCTGGAGGCTGAAGCAATCCTCAAGGCGGCAGAGGCTGAGCAGCGCCGCGCAAAGGCGGAGAAGGCGAAGTTGGACACTTTTCCATTTTGAGGGCTGAAGTCATGGTATTCAGTAGTGGAATCAGTCGAACTTCGGAAGCACGATTCTGTGTGGCCTTAACTGGCGACTGCAGTCCAGACAACTCTTTGCGACTTTGCGGATTCTGTCAGAGCTTCTGGGGCCAGAGGCAGCACCAAGAGCTGTTGCAGTCGAACAAGTTGCACCTGGGCATTTTGAGTTTCGTGTTGAATTGTTGGGTCTGGTTCAAGAGCCCACAGACCTCCAGAATTGGGTGGTTCATAAATTCATATCGGTACATGGAACATGGCAGGTCTGTCATACGGGGTAGAGGAATGTATACGTAGGAGGTAGCTGCGAAGGGCCCATGCAAAGTGTCTGGACCCCCGGTAGGAGGCGTTCGTGGCACTGCACTCTCAAGCATCTACACTACCAAGGCCCGTGAATACTAGGTTCGTACAAGCGCTTGCATTGCAAAAGGGGATGGAAGCAAGACAACCTTGATCGATCAAAAGCAACACATATGAATACCACTAAAATCCACTAAACATGCTACGAAATGGAGATCCCAGTGATCGAAAATAGCAAGGTTTACGAAAGCATAACCGACATCATGTGCTGGCTAGATGTGTTGAGTCGGTCTCTTCAATTGCATAAGAACAGCAAACATTTGTGCACCGAATAGCCAAGAAGACTTGTCCCGAACCGGCAGTGCCAGTTATGATTCGCACGCTGGTGACAAGCCTTAGACCACCCTCGGCGTAGTACCCGAGAAGCCTTCACAGAAGCTTACAACCAATGCTTCCAGCCACATCATTGGTTCGGCACGAAATCGAGGCATCAGGTGGTGATGGCCAACCCTCGAAGAGCGAGATCAAGGTGCGCAAGCGACATGAGTACTAAAAGAAAGCCCTCTGATTCCAAGTTCGAAGAGTTCAATAAGAGGTTCAGAAGAGGAATCAACACCCCAACAAGTAGCTCCGACCCTGGGGTCAGGCACCTGAGACCAAGTTGGAGCTGGCTGTGCTCAGCAAGGCCAGTACAGCGTTCGCTTGATGAAGGGCATCGGCTCTGCACGTTGAGTTGGGAGGACAAGGAGCTGATACAGGAAGCACTTGCAGAGCCTTGCACTAAGCATTTGCCGAGTGCCCTTTGGTCCAGGGCTGCCACAGCACTGTGCACGCTCCAGCTGCATAAGGTTGAAAGCCAACGGAATGTCAAACCAAGACCGGAACTATTTGTACGCCTGCGCTCGGGCGAATTTTGGGGGGCGTTGAGCTCGTCTTGCTCGACCAATCGCGAAAAATGACGAAGTTCAACCGATTAGCTTAAGATGAAGATGGGAAAGGCTCCCTACAGGCTCTGCATGAAAATCTGCAGCCTGCTTCAGCCTTTCACCGTTTCATGCTTGCCTGATGCCTTTTGCAGCTGCGCCTGGGCCCCAGGAGTACTGCTAAGTGTTTCTGCAAACGCTCAGGAAGTTGCGCTTCTTCCCGTTTAGTGCATCTTAAAGCAGGGCACGGTGTGTGTGTGGGACTACGAGAAGCAGGAAAAGACGACTTCTCTCATCCAAGCAGGAAGGCACCCGAAGTTCTTACAGTGCTATTCTGTTTGCTCTGCCAGGGATCAAGCAGTCGATGCTTGGTTTTTTTTTGCCGGTGCTGCCTGATCTTCTGCTTAGCCATAGCAAAGGGTGAAACCTGGCACCCTGCTCACAGCTCGACCGGCTCAAGCTCCCCTCTCGCAAATTTCAGACTCCTTCAGAATGGCTGCCGAGGGTGAGACGCCAGGCATGGTCGACATGAAGGCAAGGGATGAAGACCCCGAATACCCCTGTTGCCTGGTGACTATCGGGGTCACTGTGTTCGCAGGTGACTGCCAAAAAGAGCCTCTTGGCAATCTCACCTTTTTCCGCGTTTCCACTTGACAGCTCTCATGAGCATGCCATGGGTTCAAAGTCCATACAGGCCTCCTTGCTGCTTCGACAGGCATCAACTTCTACATGAACTCAGCCAAAGCTTTCTTCACGGGAGTGGTCGACGTTGAAGGCAAGAAACGCGAGCCTGCCAGTGCCCTAGAATTGCGATGTTCTTGATTCGGCTGCATGCTAGCAGCATCTTATCGTCCAGAAGAATGCCAGAACGTTCATGCTCAGAAGGTTTGCGTGCTGAACATCTCGGGCTTGGGTGATGCCATCAACGTCGCTGCAACTTTGCTGAACCTTTGAACCACTTTTTGAGCACCTTGCAGAGCAGCATGACGTCTTAAGCAAAGCGCCAGGCACAAGCTGCTGGGGCCGTTGTTAAGGAGGGCCTCGCCACATGCCCAGACGTGGGGAGTTCCGGCGCATTCAACAGTAGCTCACTTGTTCTTTCAGTATGGGCTTGGGCAGAGAGGCCACCATCCACAAGATCGAGACGTCTTATCCTGTGCCTGCCCCAGTGCGAACTGCAGGCAAGCGGCATACATGTCGACTCCCGATCCTGCACATTGTGTGTGCTCATGCAAACGATCGATGCTCCTTGTTTGGCGAACTGCCTGTGGACCGCTGATCTCCCACACACACACAGAGATCGAGTAAAGTTTCAGGCCGAAACCTTGGAAAAGCGCAAAGCCAGCCGCAGTGGTGGAAAATTTGCTGTGTGTTGCTGGACGTGTGCAGCTCAGGAGATGAAGTTGACGAACGGCTCGGAGCGGGGCTGTGTGGAAGCCTCAGTCTGTTGGGTCGAGATGAGGATGTTCGGGACTTGGCTTCTAGATGTTTTGACAGAGTCGGTTCTTCTGTAACCTTAAAGCGATATACTGGCCATTACAGGCCGATCAGAGATCGGGAGTCAGAGGCCCGAGGCATTCGGAGACAGGCAACCCCAAGATACTGAGGCAAGGATCATGATCACTCTGCACAAGAAGGTTTGAGCAGACAGCCTCCTGCTAGGGCATACTGTTTGTGCGGTGCGTGTGCGGGGTCTTTGGAAGGGCCTTTCCAGAACACAGCTTTGTAGCTGGGCAGTCACTGGGTAGCCCACGCTGAGACCTCCACGCATGTACGATTATTGAAGGCCAAAAACAGAATGGGCCAAGTCTAGGAGTCATGACTGCAGATACGTTCCTGGCAAAAGCCGGTGCAAGTGAGCTGTTTCCCATGCTGCTGTGAGCTGTGAGATCAGAGTGATGGAGTCGTGCTGTGGTGGAATTCACGTGATGTCTCCAAACATTCTTTGCGCAAAGTTGCCGGACTGCAGCCATGGCGCGGAAGGTGGCCGAACAATCATGTTCTTGCGGCTCATCCACGCAGCAGAAAGAGCACGTGAGTGCGAAGCAAGCAAATGACATGCACGAGGCTTGTAGCTACAAGCAGCGGGCCGCCGCCAGATGTTGTAGTTAGCATGTGGATGGTGACATTCACAATCGCGTAGCTGTGTCACATACCGGACCCATGATGAGTGACGTTTCTTTGGCCCGCACCTGAGCTGATTTCAGCTCCACCTCGGTTCGAGTCGAGTACAACAAGTGATTGTGCAATCGTCCTGCTGTTGCCGGGTTTTGTGTCAGGACTGGCCTCTAAGCAAAGAGGAACAAAAGAAGCGGATCATGCGGCTCTATGACAAGGTGCTTGAGCCTGTGCGGCGGCAGAGCACGGCAGAACTTGGGGGTGCAAAAACCATTTTTCTCCCAGGATGTCCAGGCTGCAAATGCTTGCGCCTCAGGGTTCAGGGTTTAGGGTTTAGGGTTTAGGAAGTTTAGGGAGGTATGGAGGTATGCTTTCAAGTTGGGTTCTTGGATGATGCCAGCAGGACATGTGACCTTGCGTCGCAAGGAGCTACTCCACTCTGGGGAGGCCGCCTTGAAAGTGGCGCTGAAGGCAACTGCAACTCACGGTGGCATCATTGCAATGATTCAGTCTTGATGCAACTCTTCCAGGCTTTGCACCAGAAGCTGAAAGAGACCGGCCCGGCAGAGGGCAATGAGGGTAGCAGGGCTTCACAGGAACAGCCGCCTGACAGCTCTTAGACTCTTGACCCACGAGCGCCAAACAGTGTGCATCATTGGGGAGCTCTTGAAGCTATCATGAGCTGCCTCGGCGAGGACGCGTCTTGTCCAGAGCACCCTGCAGGCAGAAGAGCTCCGACATAGCAGAAGCCATTGTCTTGCAGCCCTGTTGCGCAAAGCATTCGCGCATGCCGGAGGCCATGAGGTGTTGGCATCGTCCAGCCAGTCCATTGAGGTGACGGAAGAGCCCCGCGCCAATCCTGTCGTGACAGTGGTATACGCATGACAATTACTCAAATACGTTTCCTGAGCAAGCAGTCTGCGCGGCTGTGTAGGTGACTGACAACGTGAGACCGAGGCCGACCTCCCCTGCCCACACGGAGCAGACGGAAACGGAGGCTTCATGAACTTCGTTGTCGGCTCAGGCATGCCAGAAGCATACTCAGTGGATGTGCAAGGTGACGGAGGAGGCCCGAGAGGATGGCGAGAACGCTGCAGAAGCTGCAGAGTGATGCCGGCCTTCTTTACCTGGGCACAGCTCCACAACAAGCAGCCTCCTAAAGCGTAAACAAGGCGTTTGCAGCATGCCATTGTGGACGCAGCTGCTGCGCGCGAAACCTGGGGATTTGCAGTACATTCAGTACATGAGCTCCTTGCACAGATGTGCGTTGCGCGTTGGACGCATGTTGCAAGGCTCGCCTCCCTGCCCAGAGCTTATTATTCCCCATTCACAGGGCCACAGGGTGGTGAATGAAAGGAGCATGAAGTGAAGAGTACGCAGAAGGTTTGGTACCCCTTCCCTCTCTTCTGTGTTGGTGCCGGGCTCAAGCGGCCCTTCCCAGGTCGTTTGCTGCAATTGGTTCATGGTGGGGTGTGCGAGTAGAACACAGGTGGGCATTGCAGCTGATGCCGACAAGGACAAGCATGCTGCACTTGCTGCGGCCGCGGTCTGCATAAATCGGTTGCGCTAAATACGGCACTCGCTGCAAGGACAGTCCGGAGGATTGCTTCGAGGTGCGACTGTACGGTCAAGATGCTTCTGAAGCCGTTCAAGGGCAGCTGCTCTATCCTATGCCCTGTCAGGTCAGGCACCGAGCAAAGTCCGAGGGTGCCTTGCCCGTTGATTGATGTCTCGTTTTTTTTGCAGGATGGCGGTGTGCTGTTAGCGACAGGCTCAACGTGAGTGTTGGAGTTCTGGTTTTGTGCAGGTGCCCGAGTCGTGGCACCGGCAATACAGAAGCCCGAGGAGTGCTTACCACCTGCATGGCTATTCACATTTGACATCCCTTCACTTCAGCGCAGAGCTCACTGCATGTGCACCATGCTTAGGCATACCATGCAGCATAAAGCTCCCAGGACCGCCGCCGCAGGAAGTCCCGAGGAGGAGAACCATTGAAAGTGTGGAGTCCTAAGTCCTGAGTGCTTGAGCTGAAGACCAGAAACGCAGACTCTAGACTACGCAAACACCTCCCGGCCAGGTCCTTTGCAGATCCGGAGGACTTTGGGATGCGCTGCAGCTTGTTATTCATTGCTAGTAGTAGCTACTCCAGTGTTCCTGAGCTTGTGAGACCATGGTCGTTGGGTATTATCAAAGCAGTTCCTATTTGGTTCGGCGTGCGCGATGACTAGGATGTTGAAGGAGATCGATGAACCTTGGCCGGGAAGGGCGAGCAGCAGACGGCGACCCTCGATCGCCGAGCCGGAGCCTTCCCCACCCAGCTCTCCGAAATCAAAGCAGGCATCCTCAAAAAAAGGGCATGAGAGGAGCTTGTGGACTATAGTGCTGCGAGTTCAGATCTTGGGATCAGGCTTTTTCCGATTCATTGCCGGCTTTTTCAGCTGTGCAGGTGGCACCCAAAGCTCCTCCCGCAGCTTTGTCCCAGGCACTGCAGGGCCGGCAGCCCAGCCGTGCTGCCAAAGCCTTCTTCAGCATTCTTCATAAATCAAGTGAAGATGTTCGCCCCCCTTCCTCCTCTTCATCGCCCGAGGCCCATCAAAAGCCTGCGTTCCACGGCGCCAGCGAAGGGGTCTCTTGACCTGAAGCTTGTCAAAGCTGGTCATGGCTTAGGTTGACGAACTTAGTTGGAAAGCTTCTTCTGGCTCCCAAGATTCCTGCAATCCGGGACACCCACGAACAACTCGGACACGCACCAACAACCCAAGCCTGACTGATTATGAATCTTGTTATGCTATATACTAGAAACACTAGCTGTGCTTGTATGTGTATGACCACAAAGCCTCGCTTGTGTTCTCTGAAAGTGAGTGTCAGTGCCCGAGAGCCCTTTTTTGAAAAGCCGATTGCCCTCAACCATATGTCTGCACCCTCCGTCAGCGGGACTATTGTCGAACTTGGCCTGGGAGCCCTTAATTGCAGTCCATGGCCCAGGCAGGGCGCTACCGGCACCATCATCGGCGCCAAGTGGAATGTTGGACTTCATCTAATTTGTGACTTAGAGTATGTACACTTTGTTCAGAGTGAGTGGAACTTGCGTAGGTTAGCTTGCATGGTGCCGCCAGTTAGACATGTCGATCATCAGTTACCTCCTGAGCAGGCACGTAAACCTTCGCGTATATGTGCGTCAGCGTTCAGGATGAATGTTGTGAGTTCCACTGTCCTCCGAACAGCACAGAACAGACGCCAATGCTCCGTCAAGTGAGAAATGGCCACGCTTGAGCCGGCAGATGTGGCTGAGTATCATGGTTCGATTGCCACTGGTTCCACCCAAGCACACGAAGCCAAGACGCGGCCCAAGGAGGCTACAAAGCTAGCCTTAAGTGACTACGGCCATGGGCCGTAGACACCGTTCCGTGCACAAGCTCCTCGTGGCCATAGCAGATGCTGCCTCAGGGGGAGGGGCCTACAGCAGTGCTGAGAGCCTCAACCCTGAACCCTAAAATGTCTCATGGACGGAGGCTGCTTGCTTGACTCTCCCGCCACTGCGAACGGCGGTACTCTCAGCTGATTTTGGCTGTGCTCCGAAAAAGCAGCCCCAGAAAATCCCAAGACTCCCAGGAACTCACGCTCCTGTGACCCATATGGGACCCTTGCTGCTATCCAGGCTGTTAGTCATCAGAAATTGTTCGTCATCATATTTCTGAGTTCAGGCGGCCTTCATCCTGAGCAAGCAAACTTGGCAAACTAGCCTTAGACGACGTCTGTGGCTCACGCAGGCCACACGTCTGCAAAACATGTTGCTTGTGAAGGGTATCACAAGGTTGACTTGTGTTGCCACAGGCAACGCTGGGTTCTGCCTTGCTACCGGTAAGCACGCATGCAGAGGACGTGTCAGCTCAGTTTCCTACATGCCTGTCTGAGGGCTGCAGCTCAACCATGCAGTGAAGCTAGTGCTGACCTTGTGTCGCACCACTTGCAGGAGCAAGTGGAGCAAGTGAAGAGGTTAGCAGTGGTTGAGACCTATCCACCGATGCTTGGCTGCGAAGCCTCAAGCAAGTCAAGCTAGATGCACATGTTGCCTCACTGCAACTTTCCAAGGGAGCAGAGAGAATTAGTCTGCACGAAACTGGCAAGGTTTGGATCGCTGGTGCCATTGACGGGGGTGTTCTCGCTAGCCCAGTCTGCAGCGAAGCTCACAGAAGCTGTCCCAGATTCATCGTCAGCTTTTCTGCGCGACTGCACGGACACGCAAGGTGCATGTCTCTTGCCTGGTGATTCGAAACTCCAAGGACCCGGACGATCTCCCCTCCATGTCCAAGCGATTCGGGAAGCTTTCCAATGACGATTTGGACGCATACCGCTTCGTGTGCACACAGCACCTGAGCCGAGTCAACTTGGATGTGCTTGGGTGATTCGTTGACTGGGAGCGCGACAACCTTTTGAGAGTTGTGGCGAGGTATATTGGCCTCATAAGGTATGCTGATCCTGATGAGAAGGCTTGTGTCACGCGGGCAGACCGGCATGGAGTTCTGTGATTCTTTTCCTTTCTCAAGCATTTTGGCAAGAAGCAACAAGGTCATTGGCTACGACAAAGCTGGACGGTTCAAGGCCTGCGATGATGCCATTGCGGCTGTTGGACGAGCCCGCGATCTGCTGAAGAAATCAGATGCGAAGGCCGCTGGAAAGCATGACATTGTGTTATTTGAATCAAAACTCTGTCCTTTGCAGAATATGTTGTTCCTCTGTCTTCGCGCGCGCGCACGCGTGCGCGCCCGCGTTTCCAGGCTTGCGCATTAACTGTGTTTTTTTGGGGGGGTTCACTGTGTTGTTTTGCGTCAGCTTTGTGTTTTTTGGCTTCATGTGCGGGTGCAGACCCTTGGCATCCTCGCAGCTGTCATCGTTTTCGGCGCCGTAGAAGGCTCAAGTTGTTTTGTCTGGTCGGATTGCAGGGATGTAAAGGATTAAACTCTGCAATTGGTGCGAGCTTGAAAAAATTAGCCCATACAAAGACTCAACAGCATAGCCATGTCGTGTACACTTCCAAGAGTAACGCGGCCGCCGTGATAGGTCAACTTCCAAGATTCCGCAGGTCATAGCGGAAGGTACCGATCCAAGAACCAGGCGAGTACGACGTAGGCACGCGCCCAAAAACCAGCTGACCAAGACGTATACTCCCAAGAGCCAAGCGACCAGACGCTTCATGCACTTCAAAGAACCATGCGGCCATGAGAAGGTAAAGTTTCCAAAACCCAATCCACCACGAGTAGGTACGCCTCCAAGATTCAGTGGATCGTAAGTTCCAACAATTCACTTTCACGAACCACCACGATGGCAATTCACAGAACGTTTGACCGCAATGGTAGGTGGTCCTTGCGCTTTATTTGGCCTGGTCCTGTCCTCTGATTTCTTCGGGTGTTTTTTCTTGTTTTTCGGGCGTCTTTCCTCTGGTTTCTTGGGGGGAGGGGGACACTAACGTCCGTTCCTACAGCGACCATGTCCCAAAACACTGGCACGCAAAGCGTTTTCGCCTCTTTGCGCAACGTGATGCGTTTCTGGAGCAAGACGCGTTGTTGCAAGGCTGTCACAAGCTTGCAGTCTTGTAAAAATCACAAAACCACTGCGAATTGCAGCGTTCTTACCTCTTTGTGCAACGTGTTGCAAAAGCATGTTTCACGTTTCTGGAACAAGACACGCTGTCGCAAGCGTTCATGTCGTGTTTTGAATATGCCCCAAAACACTGAAATAAACAGCGTTGTGGCCTCTTTGCACAACATAGCTACATCGGGTGTAATATCATACTCTAACCTTGTGAATTTCATATCCCCCCCAATACACAACCAGCAGTGGTGAAGGCCCACAACCCTGAATTCAACAAAGTGGTTTTGCAGGACCTGGAAAGCACGCGTGTCGCAAGAATGCCGCGTCTGCCACTAAATCCGACCTTGTCAGGGCATAACACAACCAGGCAACAACACGGCGCCCCGACCTGGCAGGTACACTACGAAGTACCAGGCGATCAGACGCTACAGACACTTCCAAGAAACAAGCGGTACACTTCCAAGAGCCAAGCCAGCAGACGCTACCGCTACATACACTTCCAAGAACCAGGCTGTTTCGATGCCAGGAGCCATGACACAACACTAGGTACGCTTCCATTAATGGTATAGGAGGATCACTTAGCAGCTTAGCAACACTCATCACCCTCATTTGGCGATTCGGAGCCCTCAAACACGCTCCAACATGTGGCGATTCCGGTTCATGATATACACACGACCCCTCATTTGGCGATCCCGGCTCATCGTGTTGCTTGAACACAGATATATTCCGGTTCTCATATATCTCTTCACTTTCAACTTATATTTCAAACACACCCCCTCATTGGGCGATCGTTTGTCGAGTCGGGGTCATCATCTAGCGGCGATTCGAAGGCATCATATATCTTGAGCACGCCCCCTCATTTGTCCCTTCCGGTTCATGATATATCTGAAGCACGCGCCCTCATTTGGCGATTCCAGTTCATGATAAATCTGAAATGCGCCCTCTCATTTGGCGATTCCGGCACATCGTATATATTGAACACGCCCCCATTCCGGTTCATCATACATCTTAAACTTCATCATCATCTAATGCCCTAAACATGCCCCCTCATTTGGGGATTCTGTTTCATCAACTTAAGCACGGCCCCTCGCGACGTACCCTCATCATGTATCTCCAACACGCCTCCTCATTTGGCGATCCCGCTTCATCATGTACTTTTAACATGCCCCCTCGTCTGGCGATATCGGTTCATCATAATATATCTTAAACATGCCTCATTTGACGATTCCAATTCATCATATATCTTAAATTTGGCGATTCGGAGTCATTATACATCTGAAACACGCCCCCTCATTTCGCGATTCCGCTTCATGACAAGTTAAATCTTAAACACGCCCTCTCATTTGGCGATTCCGTTACATCATGTATCTTAAACACAGGCCCTCGCGACACTCCCTCATTTGGCGAATTCGGTTCATCGAAAAAGCTTAAACGCGCCTCCTCATGTGGCGACTCCGGTTCATCGTGTATCTTAAACATGCCCCCTCATCTGGCCATACCGGTTCATCATATGTCTTAAACTCGCCCCCTCGTTTGGCGATTCCGGTTCATCATATCTAAACGCGCTTTCTCATTTAGCGACTCCTGCTCATCATAATGGGGTAGTCCGTCTTCTTCCCGATTCGCTTTGTATTCCATCATTACCGGAATTGCGCTTGTTCTTCCCATTTTGGCCGGCCGCAAAGAGGTTGATCAAAGCCCCCTTTCTATCCCTTTCTTTAGAGACCGAAACTCGACAGTATGTGTGTGTTGGGAAAGCCGTCATTCATCTTCCACCATTTCCGGGTTTTTCCGTCCTTCATATTCCATCATTTCCGGAAATTTGCGTCTTTCATGTTCCTCCATTTCCGGAAATTTGCGTCTTTCATATTACTCCGTTTCCGGATTTGCCCGTCCTTTATGTTCCCTTCTTTCCGGAAAATTCCGGCTTTCATATTTCACCATTTCCGGATTTTTCCATCCTTCATATCCCATCATTTCCGAAAATTTCCGTCATTCATATTCCATCATTTCCCCAAGAACCTCTTTGCGGCCGGCCAAAATGGGAAGAACAAGCGCAATTCCGGTAATGATGGAATACAAAGCGAATCGGGAAGAAGACGGACTACCCCATTATGATGAGCAGGAGTCGCTAAATGAGAAAGCGCGTTTAGATATGATGAACCGGAATCGCCAAACGAGGGGGCGAGTTTAAGACATATGATGAACCGGTATGGCCAGATGAGGGTTAAGATACACGATGAACCGGAGTCGCCACATGAGGAGGCGCGCTTAAGTTTTTTGGTGAACCGGATTCGCCAAATGAGGGAGTGTCGCGAGGGGCCGTGTTTAAGATACATGATGAAACGGAATCGCCAAATGAGAGGGCGTGTTTAAGATTTAACTTATCATGAAGCGGAATCGCCAAATGAGGGGCCGTGTTTAAGATATATGACAAGCTTAAGGTATATGATGAACCGGAATGGGGGGGCGTGTTCTAGATCTTCGATGTGCATGAATCGGCAAAAGGGCGTGTTTAAGATGTATAATGACTCCGAGTCGCCAAATTTAAGCTATGTGATGAATTGGAATCGTCAAATGAGGCATGTTTAAGATATATTATGATGAACCGATATCGCCAGACGAGGGGGCATGTTAAAAGTACATGATGAAGCGGGATCGCCAAATGAGGAGGCGTGTTTGAGAATTGGGACCCTCACAATCATTGCGGCGTTTGTTCCCAACAGCACATACTGTTGGGTTTCAGTCTCTAAAGAAAAGAGGCCTGGATCAAACTCTTTGCGGGGGGCGCACAAAGTTTCAAAGGGGAATTCCGTGGACTATCAACGCGGTGGTGGGTACATTTCCAAGAACCCTAAAGCGATTATGAGGGTAGGCAAGGTGGGGGCATTAGCCATTAGCCACTGAGCGACTGAATTCGTTGCAATTCGATGTGGTACTTCATCTCTGTGTGCTGAAAGTCCTTGCGTGTCTTGTCAGGTTTGTCCCGCCTGTACCGAGGCCTGACCCGCTTTCATATTCCATCTCTAGGTACGTCTTTCGTGCTCGGACATTCAAGAATGTTGGAGTCTTCTGGCTGATTCGCTCAGCATTCCATCATTTCTGGATGTCTTCGTCTTTCTTGTTTGGGTTTTCATCTTCTTCCCGCTTCACCATTTTTACGGATGTTTCTATTTCATGTTCGGGCATGTCGGGATTTGCCCGCCTTCTTCCCGATTCGCTTCATATTCCATTATTTCTGGATCTTTCCGAGTTTCATTTTCGGACATTTCAGGAATTTCCTGTCTTCTTCTCGATTCGTTTCCTATTCCATCATTTCCAGGTCTTGTTCTCGCTTCATTTCGCATACCATCATTTCCGGATGTTTTCGCCTTTTCCTGGGGTAGTCCGTCTTCTTCCCGATTCGCTTCGTATTCCATCATTACCGGAATTGCGTTTTTTCTTCCCATTTTGGCCGGCCGCAAAGAGGTTGATCAAAGCCCCGCTTTCTATCCCTTTCTTTAGAGACCGAAACTCGACAGTATGTGCGTGTTGGGAAATTGCCGTCATTCATCTTCCACCATTTCCGGGTTTTTGCGTCTTTCATATTACTCCGTTTCCGGATTTGCCCGTCCTTTATGTTCCCTTCTTTCCGGAAAATTCCGGCTTTCATATTTCACCATTTCCGGATTTTTCCATCCTTCATATCCCATCATTCCCGAAAATTTCCGTCATTCATATTCCATCATGTCCCCAAGAATTATGATGAACAGGAGTCGCTAAATGAGAAAGCGCGTTTAGATATGATGAACCGGAATCGCCAAACGAGGGGGCGAGTTTAAGACATATGATGAGCCGGTATGGCCAGATGAGGGGGCGTGTTTAAGATACACGATGAACCGGAGTCGCCACATGAGGAGGCGCGCTTAAGTTTTTTGGTGAACCGGATTCGCCAAATGAGGGAGTGTCGCGAGGGGCCGTGTTGAAGATACATGATGAAACGGAATCGCCAAATGAGAGGGCGTGTTTAAGATTTAACTTATCATGAAGCGGAATCGCCAAATGAGGGGCCGTGTTTAAGATACATGACAAGCTTAAGATATATGATGAACCGGAATGGGGGGGCGTGTTCTAGATTTACGATGTGCATGAATCGGCAAAAGAGGGGGCGTGTTTAAGATATATGATGAACCGGAATCGCCAAATGAGGTGGCGTGTTAAGATGTATAATGACTCCGAATCGCCAAATTTACGCTATGTGATGAACTGGAATCGTCAAATGAGGCATGTTTAAGATATATTATGATGAACCGATATCGCCAGACGAGGGGGCATGTTAAAAGTACATGATGAAGCGGGATCGCCAAATGAGGAGGCGTGTTTGAGAATTGGGACCCTCACAATCATTGCGGCGTTTGTTCCCAACAGCACATACTGTTGGGTTTCAGTCTCTAAAGAAAAGAGGCCTGGATCAAACTCTTTGCGGGGGGCGCACAAAGTTTCAAAGGGGAATTCCGTGGACTATCAACGCGGTGGTGGGTACATTTCCAAGAACCCTAAAGCGATTATGAGGGTAGGCAAGGTGGGGGCATTAGCCATTAGCCACTGAGCGACTGAATTCGTTGCAATTCGATGTGGTACTTCATCTCTGTGTGCTGAAAGTCCTTGCGTGTCTTGTCAGGTTTGTCCCGCCTGTACCGAGGCCTGACCCGCTTTCATATTCCATCTCTAGGTACGTCTTTCGTGCTCGGACATTCAAGAATGTTGGAGTCTTCTGGCTGATTCGCTCAGCATTCCATCACTTCTGGATGTCTTCGTCTTTCTTGTTTGGGTTTTCATCTTCTTCCCGCTTCACCATTTTTACGGATGTTTCTATTTCATGTTCGGGCATGTCGGGATTTGCCCGCCTTCTTCCCGATTCGCTTCATATTCTATTATTTCTGGATCTTTCCGAGTTTCATTTTCGGACATTTCAGGAATTTCCTGTCTTCTTCTCGATTCGTTTCCTATTCCATCATTTCCGGGTCTTGTTCTCGCTTCATTTCGCATACCATCATTTCCGGATGTTTTCGCCTTTTCCTGGGGTAGTCCGTCTTCTTCCCGATTCGCTTCGTATTCCATCATTACCGGAATTGCGTTTTTTCTTCCCATTTTGGCCGGCCGCAAAGAGGTTGATCAAAGCCCCGCTTTCTATCCCTTTCTTTAGAGACCGAAACTCGACAGAATGTGCGTGTTGGGAAATTGCCGTCATTCATCTTCCACCATTTCCTGGTTTTTCCGTCCTTCATATTCCATCATTTCCGGAAATTTGCGTCTTTCATATTCCTCCATTTCCGGACTTTTCCGTCCTTTATGTTCCATATTCCTATTCCATCATTTCCGGATTTTTCCGTCTTCTTCCCATTGTGGCCGGCCGCAAAGAGGTTGATCAAAGCCCCCCTTTCTATCCCTTTCTTTAGAGACCGAAACTCGACAGCATGTGCGTGTTGGGAAATTGCCGTCATTCATCTTCCACCATTTCCGGGTTTTTCCGTCCTTCATATTCCATCATTTCCGGAAATTTGCGTCTTTCATGTTCCTCCATTTCCGAAATCTGCGTCTTTCATATTCGCAAAGAGTTTGATCCAGGCCTCTTTTCTTTAGAGACTGAAACCCAAAAGTATGTGCTGTTGGGAATTACAAAGAGCCATGAATTGCAGCCAGAGTCGTGCTGTACCAATCATGATGAGTCAATGATGAGGTATCGCATACCGATAGGAATGGGCTCAAACACAAGATCACTGGCATTTGCATGACGCTTTAAATTGGCTCTAAGCATGATATCACCCGTACTGTATGCAAGGGTCTGGCTTTAAAATAATAATCGCCGGCGACGTGCGATGAAAGGGGTGCTTACGGGTGTTGTTTCTAGATTCAGTAGCCAGTTACCTGTTCAACTCATCGCATGATGAGAGGGTTCACTGTCAATTCTCAGGCATCGCCTGATCAGAAGGGAAGTTTTCGACAACCCATCGCAGCTCTCAAGATCCTAAGCCAATGATGCTCGGAGCTCGTGCCAGAGGAATATCTATAGGGGGTGTGGGCATGCTTCATGGCAACATGGCTGGGCTTCAAGGTCGGGCGTTAACGAAGCGACTCGCCAGTTTCCTGTGTCCTCTTTCAACATCGCATGAGGAGGGGCGGTTTATCAGCTGCAAGTATCACGGCAACAATTCTCGGCATTGCCGGTGTACTTTTCACGAGTTAGTCGAACGAAGAATGAAGAGATGGCTCCATGCTTTTGCGTGGATAAAAAGAGCGTGTGCTAACATAACACTTGTAGCTCTGGCATCATGACTGCAAAGGGGTTTTCCCCCAGACTGAGACTATTGTCATCGCGTGATGAAAGGGGACATGTACACATACATATATATATATATACCGGCAAGTGTGTTTCTTTATCGGTGATGTTGGGACTCCAGCAGCCGTCCATGGGATGGGTTCATTGTCATCACGGAAGAACATGCACAGAACAACTGCGCGGCGCAGAAGGCCGACAACCAACAACAAAGCTGAGGACAGCACAACGAAACGACGTGGACAACCAACTGCGCTTGCCCACGCTGGTCCTGTCATTTCTACCGAAATTCTACGGCTTCTGGCTTAAGGCTTAAGGTAGGGCGATCTGATTCCAAGTTCAAGAGTCTGTCGGCAGAATCCCAGGACAAGGCAAAGAAGAAAGACCTGAAAGCCTTCCAGAAGGAGGCTGCAGTGAAACCTTTTGCATCCCGAAATCTTCATGCCGAGATCAGCTGGCCCGGGGCGTGATTCTTATTTTGAAGTTGCACTCAGGTGTCTGCTATTGGCGTAAACCTGGCTGGCTTCTTCGCGCTAATCCCACAGGCACGGGAGCTTGGAGCAGCTGCGGGGTTTAGACTTTGCAGCGCAAGGATACAAGAAGCGTAGAAAACCTGGGGTTTTTAGGCATGAAAGCATGCCAGCTCCATCCGTCCGCAAAGGGTGACTTCGTCAAGGCGCTCTCCTTGGCGCAAAAGCTCAGAAGCATGGATGCTGCACCATGGCGCAAGCATTGGAGATGACAAGTCTATGTAGGTTTCTATAGCTGGAGTTGTGCGAGGAGATATGCATTTGCTTTTCTGCGCGCTGTTCTAGCAAAGATGTCTTCTGCAGTGCACACGAATGAATTGCAACAGTGCTTCTAAGGACAAAAACAATCAGCTGTCGGAGGAGGAGGTCACAACTGTCCGGTCCGGCATGAAGCCCTTGTCACAAGATGCTGCGCACTTAGCACTTAGAGGCACAAGTCTTCACGTCGTTCCTGTCGGCATATGAACAACTCATGGGCCACTTGTAGTGTTTCCACCGGGCGTTGACTACTCTCTACCTGCTTTAAGGATGCAGACATCGTTGCAGCTCTGAGAAAGCTTGGAGCTGGCAGACTATTAGTTCCATAGTGCCGAAACCGCCGAAACCTGTTTGAGGGCTACGGCTCAGGACAGCAAAGAGAACTTGCTTCGTGCACAAGCGGCTGTGACAGATTGCCGACGCTTTGTTGTTTCTCACCACACTCGCTTTGAACGTTGCACAGCATGGTCAGTACGAATCGTGAGGATATCTCGCTTTCGTGGGAATGGTGGCCCATGGTGGGAATGGGAAGTTGTAGTTACTGTTGAGATTGAAGGATACTGTTGGGAAAGGTGTCAGTGGTGAGTAATGTTGGGAATGGGGGGGAATGGTCAGTATTGGTGGGCAATGGGAGTGATTGATGGTGAATGGTGGGATGAATGATTAGTGGGTGATGGGTGTGTGTGTGTGTGTGTGCGCGCGTGCTGTGTGCTGCGTTAGCTGTTTCCACTTGCTCGGTCTCGTGGTTCAAAGGCCAGTAACTGGCGTCTTAAGGTTGTATAAGACACTTTTCCGATCTTTTCGGACAAATGAAGCAAGCCATGCTTCGGCTGATCTTTATGATCTCGCCGGTGGTGGCAATGAAGATGGACACTTCCCGCATGGATGGGAGGGACGCACCCTTCGATGTGCTGGAAGGAGCTAACGCCTCAGACAACGGCAGCGAGGTACTGGAGAACATCGTCCTGAGGAATGCGCTGCATGACCTCAGGGAGGCGGAGGAGGTGCCGGCCCCTGAGGACATCAGCGCGAACAGTAGCGCCAATGCAAGCTCCGCGGGTGGTGGCAACGCCACCAACAGCACCGACCAGGGTATGGGAAAATTGGCTGAGAACTTGGAGTTCTTGTTCATCAAGGCCCATGCGCCCAAGTCCCACAACGGCAAACCCCGCAAGTGTCAAACCTTCTGGACATGCTATAACCAATGTGCACACCTTAAGCATGAAGGCCTCCTTGGAATCCGGAAGCCCAAATTCCCCAGGTGGCCCAGTTGGAGCCCTGGCTGCAGAGTTCGGAGTCGGGTCTTCGAGGTCTTAGAAGGAGCAAGTCAGCTCACAATAGTTCACGTCACCGAAACGCACATAAGGAGACGGTCGTCGAGCTTCAGCAGCTGGAAATCAAGAGCTTGATCGAATGGAAGCAGAGCCACCTGGAGGCGGAGCACGACCAAGAGACCCCAAGGTTGTCGCTGATGGAGCTGCAGCATAAGGAGCAGCAAAGCACAGAGAATGCACAAACGATCTTCAAGAAAGTCCTGGAGAAGCACCATCACCAGAGGGAGAAGAAGCAGTTCGTCACCCCTGTCAAGACAATGGAAGGCCAGCAATCTCAGGAGCACCGCGGGCACCGTGCCAACCATGCCGCCAACTCCAAAAGCAAGCAGCCAAAAGATCCGAACAGCCAGCAGAGCAGCCTACTGCAACGCCAAAGGAGGGCATCGGAGTCTGATGAAAAGGAGCTGGAGGACACTGTGAGTTCCAAGGTCATCGGCACAATAGTAGATGGTGCAAAAAAAGTTGGAGGTGCGATCAAAGATGGCACGGGTTTAGTCGGGGACGCGCTTGGAGATGCCTACGCTTCCGCGACGGACAAGATCGCTTTCGTGGCCAACACCTTAGTGACCGCAAGGCTGCAGTTTCTGTGTGCTAAGCAGGGCTAAAAAGAACCTGGACCCGCTAAGCAGAGTCTTGATCATAATGTCAGCCGCACGGCTTCAAGCAGGCGTAAAAGGCCTTTTTAAGGTAGAATGGTTCTAGAATACGTACTGTACAGATGTACCTTTGCGCTTTCCCTGCAACATCACTGTTTAAAGCGACTGTTTTAGTTTAATCTTTGGCCACTCTAAAACACATGACTCCCGAGTGCCTTGAGAGTGGGTGAGAGGCTAAGAGAAGCTAGAGCCGTCCCCCTCAAGCGAGATCACAGCAGAGACACCAGCAAGGAAGAAGAGAAACACACACAGAGTTGTCCAGACACCTGAAGACTCGAAGAAGCTGTCCAGGTCCGCACAGATTCGCTGGTACAGACCACGGGTTTCTTTTGAGCTCTTGACACGCAGGCTGTGTCTAAACCATACAGCTCTAATAAAAAGAAAGCAGCAGCAGCAGCAGCAACCTTCAAGCCCTAAACACTACACTACACTACACCCTGTATCCTATGCAGATACTGTTTTACATAGCCGACAATGCTTCATTTTGCTTGGTAACGTGTGCAGTTCCAGAATACTCCTACGAGGCGACACTCGATTCTGTTTTGACTAAGTGCATGTGCGCTTCTAGAGTCCTTCCATGAGAGTCGCCTGCGAGCAAACCTTGCCCTTCCGATCTTGTACGATATGTTTGTTTGGCAATGTTTAATGCTTGAGGGCTTCATTTCGAACCCTCAACCCTAAGGCCAACACCGCCATCGACACCGTGGAGAAGGCCATTGACATCCTCAAGCGCGGGTTCAACAGCTGGCACGCCGGGTGCAGCGTCATTGCCCCATACTTGTCGTTTTCACAATTGGGGGCACACATCTTCTTTGGGGCGAGCCATTGCCAAATCACCCTGATGGGGCAGACCACAAAGCTGTTCCACTTTCACTGGCATCAGCAAAACATTGTTTTTCCGCAGCCGCTGCTCACAGCTGCACACTTCGCAACATCACAGGTCGAAGTGGCAATGCAATGGGGAGCACAGCTCGGGAGCCAATGTTCGATCCATGGGGGGGGCCTGATTCCATGCCTCGCCAGCAAGCTGGTCGGGTCGCTGGTCTCCTCTGGCATCGGTGGGAAGATCCTGGATGCTGCACCCCCTTTGAAAGCAGTGGCCACCATGGGCGGTGAGCTCACAAGCTGCGCGCAGACCGGGCCTGGCCTGGTTGCGTGCCTCGGCGGCAAGCTGGTCTCCTCTGGCATCGGCGGCACGCTGGTCTCTTCTGGCATCGGTGGCCAGATCCTCGATGCCATACCCCCGCTGAAGATGATGAAGAACATGGGTGATTTGTATGGAGGCTGCCACAACCATGGGGGGCACGGCCTTCTAACGTGCTTCGCTGGAGGGTTGGTCGGCCCTCTGGTTTCCCGTGGCATTGGCACCCAGATTCTGGACTCCGCACCCGCCTTGAAGTCCGTGTTCAACATGGGCCACGAACTGGTGAACTGTGACCAATCGGCCCAAGGCCTGGTGACCTGCCTGGGCAACAGGATCATCAACTACGTGCCCCCCTTGAGCCACCTGAACAAAATGAGCGAGATCCTTGCCGACTTCTTGGAGGGCTTTGCGAGAGTGGCGACCACCATTGCAGGACAGGTCTTGAAGGGTGGCAGCTCTCTGATCCAAGAGGCCGCCAATTCGCAGTTCCCGGCCACGGGAGCTCCGCCCATGGTGCATCACTCCGGGCAGAGCCTGGTCATCAAAACCCACACGCAAGAGCACAAACCCAAAATGTCGGCTCTGCAGACACAGGAGGAGAGGGGGGAGGATGCCGACCCTGTCAAGGGTGGCTTCGGCTTTCCCAAATTTCACAGCGAGTCGGGCAACTACCAGTCCAAGCTGGTCAGCCAGCTCCTCTGCCCGCACTGGGAGTTGGGACCCCGAAACCAATGCAGTGACCTCAATGTCGCTGTAAGTGCCTTCCTTTGTCCTGGTATCTGCACATGGGCGCGTGTGGGGAGTCTGTTGTGTCGGTGTGCCCTTTGTTGCGGCACACAAAAGGTTGCTGGTGCTTGGCTCTGTTCAGGTGGCATGGCTACGAGACGGACACGAGCTCCTGCCTGGCTTTCGCCCCCAAGAACAAGCACGGACACGGTGGCCAGGCGACAGCAACAGACTGGCAGGCAGGACCCCTCCTCCTTTCACCGTGTTTCATAGTTCTTTGGCGCTTTCCAGACTCAGCCATGGCATGCCATGGCCCAGGTCCAGAATGAGAACGACTTCGTGGCCCTCGAGCCATGGGCGGTGCCGTGTGGGAATAAGTGGATGAAGGACAACTGGGACAAGTGGCAAGGCGTGGGTGTCGGAATTGGAGCGCTATAGCCATGGCTT